ACACTTTGAAGAACCTCGTGGTGGGAAATAAGATGTGTTTTTCCATGAACAGCAGATTCACATGTCATATCACATTAGGAAACCCCTTTGGTTCCAAAATACTTTGCTTTAAGATACATGCTGGTGGTTGCAATCATAATTGGGAAAATGGTATTTAAAGGCAACTTGTGATTAAAATGTAATCTATGATTTGGTCCTTATTAAAGTCTGAACTTTACACAATGTGTGAAATGACATCATTATGAGAAAGCTAGAAGACAGAAATGCCACTCTGTGTAAGTTGTCTAATCCCACTGACTTCTACAACAGTTACCCAAAAAGTTTGGAGAGAAAAACAGGGGAAGTTCAGGTTTGTTGGGGAAAATTGTGCACAGATGCAACCAGTTGGTGAGAACAAAAAGGAAAGGAACAGTGTGTTTGTTTGTGTGTTTTGGATAGATAAATGGTCCCCCATTCCACAATTTCTCATGGAACACCACCAATTTCTTCCTTAACTCTAAGTTTCCATGGAACACAATCTAAAAAAATCTAGATTAGAAACTCTCTCAGAGTAGTCTACTCTAATATTTAACAGTGAAGCAACTATTTTAGGGAGCATATCAGTGGTGGGGTTCAAAATTTTTTACTACCAGTTCTGTGGGCATGGCTTGGTGGGCATGGCAGGGAAAGGATAGTGTAAAATCTCCAGTCAGAGGTGGTATTTGCCGGTTCTCCGAACTACTGAAAATTTTTGCTACCGTTTCTCCATAACTGGTCAGAACCTGCTGAATACCACCTCTGGAGCATATACCATGAACAAAAACCAATGGCTCCTAGTTATTTCCCTCTATAGAAAGCCAAGGTTATGTTTACTGTTTGGCCTCCTAATTTGTCAGCTGCATCAAGGGCACTAGAAAAGGCCATCCTACCACATACACTGTTAGATTCGATTCATCTGCCAGTTGGATTTTATATATGGCAAAACAAAGTAATATGTAGCAAAATAGTTCATATTGCCTTATTTTTCTACTTTCTTCTGGCAAAAACAAAACCTGGTCCCTGGGAATCATCTGCTAATCTTGACATGTTGTTGTATAACTTGAAAATCAAATCTGCAATCTGCATCTGGAATCAAATCTAACTATTTACCAACTTCGATTTTTGGTCAAATATAGCTATTTCCTACAATAGCAGTTTTGCATCCACGTATCCTCATGAGAACTACGTTGCAACACTCTTAAGTTTCTAAAGTTTTTGAAGCAAAAAAAACCCGACCAGTTTGCAAGACTTTAATGCTACCGTTGCAGGCCATGTACGTGGTACTCTGCACAGCATAACAGATCCCTCACAGACGAGATTTTTGACTGGGACTTAATAGAACTCCAGCTGCTTGTGATTATAAATGTTAAGTATTTCAGAGGCAGCCAAAAGATGTGCACTTTTACCACCCTGCTGATGCGAATGGAAAGAGTTAGGCTGTCACCTGAAAGAGCTATAATTTGCTCTATTTTAAAACAACGGCATCTCCTGCCCATCCTCAGTTGTCTATCTATTCACAACCCAGGTAGATCTGAAACCAGTTTGACCTTCTCATTAAAATGAAGGGTGTTGATAAAGCACTGGAATCTATCATGACAGGAGGAAATGTTACTTTGGAATTGATGTGAAGCTTAATGATAGGGGGGTTTCAAATCATGAACATCTGCTGCAATTATTATTATCATTATTATTTTAAAACACACACTTCTTTGCACAGCAGTCGCAATCAAGCCCTGCTTCAGAACAGGTAGCACCATTAAAGCTAAACAAGAGATTTGATTAGAATGCCAAGTCTGTCACTCAGCCTCATTATAGATATAAATACAGGACTTCCACTCATAGTATATATACACCGTTCTAATGATGTTTTTTTAAGTGCACCAGATAAATATATTTTTGTGTTTATCTTACAGTTGGTCTTCACTCATATTTGATTGCTTTACTTCAGCATTAAAATCTACCTATGTAGGAAAAAAAATGTTTGACAAGTTTTGCACAAACAAATATTTCTGAGTGAAGGTAAAAACATTCCTTCCCATTTTTAAATGTCATTCTTCATAACATAACAAATCTATAATTTTCCTTCTTCAGTCTAACATTCTTTTTTTAAAAAAATCTTTAACATATCTTTAACAGATTAACAGAGTTGGAAGGGGCTTAGATCATCTAGTCCAACCCCCCCCTCCGCCCAAGCAGGAGACTCCACACCATTTCTGACAATAGTGGTCCAATCTCTTCTTGAAAGCCTCCAGTGATGAAGCTCCCACAACTTCTGAAGGCAAGCTGATAGTTGATTGGTTGATTGTTCTGTCAGAAAATTTGTCCTTATTTCTAGGTTGAATCTCTCCTTGATCAGTTTCCATTCGTTGTTCCTTGCCTGGCCTACAGGTGCTTTAGAACAGTGGTCGCCAACTGGTGGGCCGCAAGAAAATTTTGGTGGGCCGCAAAGAAATGTCACTCCCAGAGCACCCCCCAAAGCAATTAATCCAGGCTGCATAGTAACACAAGGCTGCGCCGCCCACATGGCCCGCGGGAACCCTCCCCGCTCACTCACTGCTTACCTGGAAAACTTGCCTGCTAAATAGCTATTTTTCCTTTTTTCCCCTGACCATCAGCTGTTCTGCTGTGCCGGGAGATTTAGATTAGCTAGGAAGAAGGAAATGGTTGGATTTCTTGCTTTCTAGCTGGTTTTTAGATCTTCGGCTCTGCTCCTAAGCACAGCTGAACCTCCCTTAGGGCTGAAATTTCTATTATTCAGTGCAGACTCACTGCAAGCAAATTTTATATGACAGACTGAGCTAGCCAATGGCAGATAGATAGATCAATGAATGATTCTGTGAGCAACTCAATCTGCCTGCCTGCTTTGCCTAATTTTGGGTAAAAGTTGCTCTTTTTTATAAAAAAAATCAATATTTATATCAATATTTATAATATTTACATACAAGCCATGCCCAGCCAGTCACATGACCACCAAGCCACACCCACAAATTAGGCCACACCCACAGAAATGGTTATTGGTCCCTGGAATTTAAAATTATGACTTTGGTGGTCCCTGAGGTCCAAAAGATTGGAGACCCCTGCTTTAGAAAATAGCTTGAGCCCTTCCTCTCTGTGGCAGCCCCTCAAATATTGGAACACTGCTATCATGTCTCCCCTGGTCCTTCTCTTCATTAGACTAGCCATGCCCAGTTCCTGTAACCGTTCTTCATATTCAAAACAGAGGAGTAGGTAAAGGGACTCACATTGCATGCAAATTAAAAAAAAAAGGTTTCTTGTTATTTCTTGTTTCTTTTTATTATCCAAACAAAAAATGGATGGTTTTTTTGTATCAAAACTTGAAAAACTTGTGGATATAGCTGGTGCTACCTGAATGACCACTTGTTTGGTGACCATTTGAAGTTGCAATGGTGCTGAATGACTGGGAGTTATAAATAATCCTCACATTTATGGCTCTGGTGGCATTCCATGGTCATGTGATCACTATTTGTGACCTTCACTTCCAGCTTCTGCTAAGTAAAGACAATGGAAAGCTGGCAGTAAGTCACAAGTCATAGTCACGTGAGGCCTCTTAATAACACACATGATCCCCGCTTAATGACAGCAATTAGAACTGCTGTTGCTAAGTGGTGCAGTCACATGGTTTTTCATCTTACAATTGTATCACTTAACAACGGAGTTTCCAGTCCCAATTAGCGGTGTTGAATGAGAAATTCCTGTATCATTACTGAGCTGACATAATAATTTGTAGATGCAAGAATGTTGTTGTAGAACATAGCATACTTGAGTGGTACTAAAAATTATATGGGGAAAATGTGAGGGGAAAATAAGAATGCTAGTTTTGTGTATACCTTTCCTTAGCATTTTTATCTCCCTCATCATGTCCAGAATGAACTCCTGTCATGGAAGGAATTCTATAGAAGATACTGTAGATTGTATAGTACAGAATCCAGTTTCCCCAGCTGGAAGAAGCAAATATGGTTTGTAAGATTAGAAAGGTATAAAGAAATGTTGTGAATAATATATAAACACAATTTCCTATTTTATCCCTTTTTTTATCCCCTAAACAATTTCAGGACTGGAAACAAAAAATAGGACGATGAACTGAGCATGTAAAGTTGTCAGTATATTTGAAATTCTGAAACATGCTATGAGTATTCACACAAAATGTCTGCCACAAATTGTATGAACAATCATCTTAAAGACAAATACTGAGAAGCAAAACAAGATGGCTGCTTCCTGCCATCCCCTCAAATTTCTCAGGATCTTAGCTGCCATCTTACATTATGCTTCTCTTTTTTTCTGGGTGGGGTACAAAATATTTCAGTATGGCATTACTAAGAAAACAGATACTAAAAATACTATTGTGCATTTAGTTTGGGGCATGCAATTTTCTCATTGTTTTATATTTTTAAAAATCCAAAAATTCAAGTGGGCAAATAATCTCATAATCATCCACAGAGAATACTGTGGTGACTAATGAAGCAAAATCTCTTCAGAATAAATTAATATGAATTCTGACTATGCAGCATATATTGTACCAAATTAGCATATCCTTTTCAGGGTTGACTGAAGGAATTGACATTACAGGAAATGATCAAGATTTGGTTAAAGGAAACAAGTAGAAAAGGTGGAGAATTCTACTGAAATCGCTATTTTTCTGCAATATGAAAAAATAATACTAATGATGCTAATGATGTGAAGAGTCAACCGCCTTTTTAAAAAGGAAGTATACTATTTAGTTCAGCATTCTATCTGCTTGGCTGAATATGCCAACTAATGCTTGGCCTGGAGAATGTCAAAGTAATATAAAACATAGATACATTAATGTAATAATGCTTCTGTTATATGAGAGTAATACAGAAAGGAGCATATCATAATGCATCATTAAATAGCTGGTTTCAAAGAATACCTAGGTAAAAATACCTGCTACGTGGAACTGAGCCACAAAACTGTGGCCACACTTAAATTGTCAACCAACATACCTGCCTCATCATAGGATACAGTCAATTTTTCCAGCATTTCTCGGTCGATTGAGAGAATTTGTTGCTCCAGGATGGTTTGATAGGATAGTACACTGTTCTCCTTATCTTTCTCATAATCCTGAAGATGTTGCTTTAGGACTTCTGGTAAGCGGGACTTCACATATTCTGCTGCTGACTACAGAGAAGAAAGAGGGGAGAAAGAAACCAAAGTTGACTTTTATGTGCCATATTACTTTTTGTGCCATGTATACGTATACATAAAATAAGAGGTAGTTTTAGGATTTTAGCAGACATGAAATACAAGAATTTAAAAAGTGCAACCTATATAACCACAGCCCATCTTAGAGATATTTCTAGGCATCCTCTTCAGGTTATTCTTGACTTCTTTCATTTGTCAGATTGAGAAGTCAGGTCTTCACAAAGTCTAAAATATACTGAAGTAACTCCCAACATTGAAACTTTCTATTTTATCAACACAAAAGAGTTTCAGGAAAAAAGGGGGCTATAGTAAATGTGGGTCTTTCTGGAAGGTAAGGCATTCTTGGAATGTCAGAAAAGATGCCAAGATACATCAAGAGAAATGGACACAAGAACATTTTTCACTTAAGACTTTTCAAATGAGAATGTGCACATCAGCACACGCAACAGAGAAAAGCATTCACAAAACTACATATCACTGGAAAAAAAGGACATGCAAATATCACAAAGGAAAACTGTACAAAAAATAGGAATAATTTCATGTATCTTTTCCAGACAGTTTATCAATTATGGAACCAAATTATCGACAACTTTTAAAGACAAAATTTTAAAAAAGGGAAACAGAATCTGCCATTCCTCAACAGATTATGACAATTGGCCAACTGAGAGACATCCAAGGCACCAAATCACTCCTGCTACTCAAAGGAGTCATGCCAATTTTTTAAAAAAGGTCTTTGATCTTGGTGACCATGCCATTTAAGAAGAACTTAAATAAAGTTGTCAGAATGAATGACATCTGTAAAGTTTCTTCTCCATGGGTTAAATACTGAGGTGGATCCAACTGCACTGTTTTCAATTTACTGCTGGTGTTTTAGCAAAGCTGATTAGTTTTTGAACTAATTAAGCATGTCATATCACTCTGCTTTCTAACCTTTAAAAGCCCAGTTCTGAGGACTAATTCTTGCAATGCTGTGCTGCAGCTTGCAAGACCATGGGGGTAACAACGTTTAATTTTCAGAAAAACTCCAGAAGAGGTATGACAACTGTGCTGCTTATACTATTAGTCTACATTCTCTGAGAAGACATGCTGCTATGGCAGATGGAAAGGGAAATAAAACACTGCAGGCGTCCAAAGCAACTTTTACTATATATTTTTATTATATATTATACCAGTAGAATTATAATATAAATATTACTATGTTTACTATATATTTAGCTGTATTCTTCCTAGCAATAGAAGACGTTAGTTTAGTTTTCATTATAATTGTTGCCCCCTGAAACAAGCATTATGCCACATGTTACTCTACTTTTACATTGATAACAATTTTTACATCTTTGGATCTGTTGTGAAGAATGAAAAATGGACATATGCTTCCTAGTCAACTCAAATAAGTTCCTTGCCTACTTGTGATAAAGGCTTCACAGTTAATGACTTGGTATGCTTCTAAAGCACTTACTTGGTAAGGCAGTACTGTACCTCAAGGTGTACATGCTGCCACCATACCTCTTGACTGAAGTAATGGACCAATTAAGAAGGTACTCAGTGAGAAATAATTCAATATAACATTTAGATTAATTTCTCAATGTCCAAAATGCATGAAATGTTATATATGAGATCTCACAAGAAAATGTTTCCTGTAATCCAAAGATAGCTGAGTTAGCCCAAGCTATCACTAAAGCTGTATTCAATTTGTCTAGGGTCAGGCTAGGCTATTTGTAACAAAATTATTTCCAGAAATACAATAGCCTGCAATGTAACACAATAAATTTAATACAAGATTTTTAAAAAGTCATTAATTTCTAGCAATGGAAGAAAGAAGATAGACTACATCGCTCATTTTATATGAACAATTTTATAACATACAGAGCCAGTTGGGTCTAGTGGTTAAGGCACTGGGCTAGAAAGCAGAAGATTTTAAGTTCAAGTTCTGCCTTAGCCATTAAAGTCAGCTGGGTGACCTTGGGCCATTCACTCTCTCTCAGCCCAACCCAAGACCACAACTACAACCATCACAGAGTTGTGGAGAAAATAGAAGGGGGGAAAGTATTGTATGTGTTCACTGCCTTGAGTTATTGGTAGAAATAATAAAGGTGGGATACAAATAAATAAGTAAGTAATAACAATCTTTACCAACCTGGTGTTCTCCATAGGTGTTGTGAACTAAATCCCCAACCCACATCATTTCCTATATCTTCTGGGAAGCCACAAGATAATTTCTGAGTCTGTAACTTTTAAATTGTGGTCTAGGACCTAAACAATTCACAATTATGCAAAGGTGGAAAGCCTCTTTAAAGCCTCAGGTGGCAGTAGAATGTATAGACTTCTAATTTCTAGCCAGTTGGTTTCATGGTGGTTAAGGCACCACACTAGAAATTAGAAGTCTACCAGAGGTCTCCAACCTTGGCAACTTTAAGACTTGTGGACTTCAACTCCCAGAATTCTCCAGCCAGCATAGCTGGAGAATTCTGGGAGTTGAAGTCCACAAGTCTTAAAGTTGCCAAGGTTGGAGACCTCTGGTCTATACGTTCTACTGCCACCTGTGGCTTTAAAGTTAACTGGGTGACTTTAGGCCAGTCACTTTCTCTGAGGGGTGTGCTTAGGCAAAATAGGAGAAGGAAAGAGTATTAGTTATGTACACCATCTCAAGTTATTTAAAAAAAACAATAAAGGTGGGTAAAAACAAACAAACAAAATTGAAAAATGCTTGAGACTAGGATACATTATTTATATATAAAAGCTTGGATCCAGGATAGGTTTCTTCAATGGAAGGAATGCTGAATTATCTCCAACATCTATAAAGTTTAAACATCTAAGCAATAAAAAAGATCATTCCTTAATGGAATTAAGATTATGCTGGATTGATGAAACATTGTGCCAATGATATTTCAAGACCTCAATATATCAAAAGAGAGACATCGTCTGTTCAAACTAAAAGGATGTCATTTACATCATTTACTCTATTAGTGTAATTATGTCTAGACTGGTTTGAATATTCTTTATTCTGTCTACTATTTGGAAAGAAGGCATTGGCACAAATTTTGTCCACTGAATTTTAAGTCCATTTCATTAAGGCTTGTTGAAGCAAGTCATTGCTGTAATAATAATATTCTTACTACTACCTTATGACTATGTTAGTATGGCACAGTATTAAAGAGAGCATTCTCCCCAAACCCAGTCAACAGCGGAATTCATCAGGGCTACTTTTAACCCTAAACAGCCAGGCTTGTGCTAGCTTCAACTAATCTTCTTCAATCAGTTTAGAAAAATAAGAGAGAGTTGACTTCTCTTTCTACTGCTGGAAATGATGGAGTGTTGTGAACAACTCTGCAAAAACAGAAGGAAAAAAAGAGGGCTATATATATTTTCTTGACCTATTCATTAAAGCCATGACCTGAACATGGTAGTGCCTCAGTCACTTTGGTCATGGTTGAGTTTTCTAGTATGATTTCTAGTAGGAAAACTAGTTTGGTCTACTGGTTAAGGTTAAGACTAGAAACCAGGAAACTGAGTTCTAGTCCTGCCTTAGGCATAAAAGCTAGTTGGATGACCTTGACCCAATCACTCTCTCTCAGCCTAACCCACCTCCAAGGGTGGTGGTGGTTGGAAAAATAGGAAGGAGTAGGAAGGAGTTTGCCACCTTGAATAGGAAGGAAGGACTTTTTGAATTTTTAAAAGAGAAACATTGGGAATTTGATGAAAAGCAAGGAAGACATATTGACAGAAAGAAAATAGCATATATACTCATTTGTAACATAGCAGCATGTTAGCAACAGGTAAAAAGTCAACAGTAGTACTTAAATATTAATATTTGATCACTGCAATGGAAGGAAATCACATTAACTAATTTCAGATAAGTTGTGTAAAGTTATTACTAGTTACAAATAAAACTAAATACAATTGAAAATATTTTTAGTAAAAGGGGGAATATGGGATTTGTAAGATACATGTATCAGATTCTAAATCTAATGAAACTGAGATTGCAACTTTTATTTGAAAAAGAAAAAGCAAGTGTTTCCAATTCCCTCTCATATATGATTCTAAGTTGGCAGAGTACATCATACTGATGAATATTTGTTAATTTAATAGAAAGCTGTATAAAGATCCAATAGTCAATGTCTGCAACTCTATAAAGGTTGAAGCAACTCTATAAATTAGACAACTTTATACGCTGAAGAGCTGTGGAAAGTTGTAAGTATATTCTGTATATATTTCTAAGTTCACAATATTTAGAGTTGTCTGGAATTTGCTAATGTCCTAAACCAGGGCTATCAAACTCGCGTCACGTACTGGTCATGCCCTTTATTTAGTGAAGGGGAAAAAAGTCCCAATACGTCATGTGACTCAGGACGATGTGAGTTTGATACCCCTGTCCTAAATTAAGCAAGGTCTCTCTAAAACATTCAGAATTTTTTTTTTTTATTCCTAAGAAATAGTTGTTACTATTTCTTGGCACCTCTAAATCACCAGCACCAGGGCTACAAGACTTTAAATTCTTGGAGAATGCTTCACAGTCCAGAGAAGTTTGGCTAGGAGTTTCTATTGTAAGTGGAATTTGCTAATAATTTATACTGTTTCTAGAGCGAGTAAAATATTAAGACTCAACTCCCAAATTATTCTTAGAAGTGGAGAGACTTGGCTGCAAGGAAGAATGTTCTTGGTAATTTAAATGCATTGCTAAATAGGATTACTATACCATATACTGAATCATTTCTCCTGTTATATTAGAGATTAAAATTTGGTAAGCTTTTTGAAAGGGCTTTGGGGATTCTACCCAAAGCATATTTTAAACTGCCCTGGGACTTTGGCAGGGTGCCTGGAAATGTCTGGCCTGGGGAGGGGAGGGCGGCAGTGGGCACCCCGCAGATGCTGAGACCTTCCCTTGCCAGAAAGGCTTGGCTGACCCGGTGCAAGGACGAGGGCTAGTAGGGTGTGTGTGTGTGTGTGTGTGTGTGTGTGTGTGTGTGTGTGTGAGAGAG